TGCTGATTTTGAATGTTTGACAGAGGAACTGAAAAAACCTGATGAAGATGAAGATAAAAACACTTTTTCTTATCAAGAGCATAAGCCATGTGGTTTTATGCTTAATATGGTTAATGCTGTTGATAATACAAATTATGAATTTATGTATCGTGGTAAAGATGCTGTTGATGTGTTTTGTCAAAAACTTAATGACATTAGGGCAGAAGTAAAGGAGAAGATGGGAGAAAACGAAAAAATAGATATGACTGATGAAGACAAAGAAGATTTTAAAAATGCTAAAAACTGCTTTATTTGTGGGGATAAGTTTAGAATGAACTATAAGAATGCCAAGGAAGCAGAGAAATATAGAAAAGTTAGAGACCATTGTCATTTTACAGGTAAGTATAGAGGTTGTGCTCATAATGTTTGCAATCTTAATTTTTGTAATAGATATTTTAAAATTCCAGTATTCTTTCATAACATGAAAAATTATGACGGTCATTTAATTATTCAAAATGCTGATAAATTAAGTAACAACAATAAAATAGGTGTCATCGCTCAGAACAGTGAAAAATTTATTAATATCAGTTTTGAAAGTTTGAGTGTTAAAGACACTTTGGGTTTTTAACTGCTTCATTAGATAAGTTAGTTTCAATGAGTAAGTATGATAATACAGATGAAGAAGATAAAAGTAAATGGTTATTGCGTGAAGACTGGAAAGATAATTTTAGGTTTAGTAGTAAAAATGATTTGATTAAGAGTGAGAAATGTCTAGATTTATTAACTGATAAAGGCGTTTATCCTTATGACTACATGAATTCATTTGATAAATTTGATGATGAGCAATTACCGAGTAAGGATGATTTTTATAGTCAGTTGAGTGAAGAAGGTATAAGTGTTAACGACTATGAAAGGGCAAAAATTATATGGAAGCATTTCGACATTAAGAATATGGGTGAATACCATGATTTATATTTGAAAACTGATGTATTATTATTGACTGACATTTTCGAAAATTTTAGAGATGTATGTATGAAATATTATGGATTGGACCCTGCTTATTATTATACATTGCCTAACTTTGCTTTTGATGCTATGCTTAAAATGACTGGTGTAGAGATTGATTTAATATATGACCAAGAAATGTATGAAATGATAGAAGCAGGACTTAGAGGAGGAATGTGTATGGTTTCTACTAAAAAAGTTGAAGCAAATAATAAATACATGGGAGAAGAATATGATAAAAATAAAGAAAGTAGTTATATTAACTATTTTGATGCTAATAATTTGTACGGGTTAAGCATGATACAAAAACTGCCATATAAAAATCTAAAATGGGATGATACATTAAAAGAAGAAGACATTATTAATTATAAGAATAATAATATTGGATATATTCTAGAAGTGGATTTAGAATATCCTAAAGAATTACACGATTTACACAATGACTATCCAATGGCACCTGAGGTTATGAATGTTAAAGCCAACATGCTGTCAGATAAACAAATTGAAATTTATGAATTTTTAAATCATAAAAAACCTACGGATGAGAAAACAAATAAATTAATATTGAACTTAAATGATAAAGAAAAATATGTAATCCATATAAGAACCTTACAATTTTACTTGAAGCAAGGGTTAAAACTTAAGAAAATTCATAGAGCAATTAAATTTGAACAAAAAGAAGTTTTAAAACCTTACATTGAGTTTAACACTGAGAAGAGGAAGAATGCTAGAAATGATTTTGAGAAAGATGTTTACAAATTGATGAACAATGCCATATTTGGAAAAACAATGGAGGATAAAAGGAAACATTTAGATTTTGAGGTTGTGAGTGATGAAACTAGATATATGAAGTGTGTAAGTAATCCTAACTTCAAACATAGTCATATCATTAATGAAAATTTGGTTGGAGTTGAAAAGCAAAAAACAAAGTTGAAACTAGACAAACCTATATTTATTGGGATGAGTATTTTAGATTTGAGTAAGCAACACATGTATAAATTTTATTATGACGTTATGAAGCCTAAATATGGAGATAATATTAAAATGGTATATACTGATACTGATAGTTTTGTATTTCATACTAAAACCAATGACATTTATGAAGACCTTAATACAATTAAAAAAGAATTAGATTTTTCAGATTATCCTAAGGAACATAAATGTTATGATGATAATAACAAGAAAGTATTAGGTAAATTTAAGGATGAATTAAAAAGTAAAATAATAACAGGGTTTATAGCTCTTCGTCCTAAATGCTATGCTTACTCAGTTTATGGTGATGATAAAAAATATAAGAAATGTAAGGGCATAGCAAAAGGCACAGTAAGACGTCAAATGAAATATGAAGAGTTTGAGACGGTTTTAAAAACTAATGAGGTTATACATAAGTCATTTAATAGTATTAGAAGTAAAAACCACAGAATTTTTAGTATAACAACTAAAAAAATTGCTCTTAGTAGTTATGAAAACAAAAATATTGGATAGATGGTGTAAACTCACTTGCTTATGGCCATTATAAAATAAATTCTTTGAAAACGACTTAAAGAAATATTGACTTAATATATTAAGAGGAAAAATGAGCGATACAGAAAGGGAATATGGTGAATATAGTGATATAGAAAGTGTGTATAGTGAATTTAGTGATACTGTCCATGAAGATATTGATGTTAAAAATATATTGAAACAAAAGTTTATGAATTACAAATGTAAAGACTGTGAGATGGTAAAGTTAACAATTCAACAGGGTTTTATAGATGGTGTTAGTAATAACATTTGTCAATGTATGATATGTGATAATTGCAATAAAATTTTAAACAAAATTGATTATATGAATAACGAAGATATTGATAATAAAAATGTTAAACATATTGATGATGATTTAGAAATATTTGTTTTTATTGAAATGAATAAGTTCTTGACTGAAGAAGAGTTTTATAATTTATTATATAAGGGCGATGATGAAGGAAATACTAATGATTTTATTGTGAAGTACTACAGCTTGGTAAAAATATTATACAATATGTCTTTTAGCATTAAACGTTTAAAATATGAAGCACGGAATGACAATGACTTTGATTTTTTAAGTTGTGAGTATGATTTAGATGAACTTAGATACACAGCAAGACATGCAATTCGTGTAATGGGCTGGTTTAAAAAGGAAATAGGAAATAATATTTATAATGAAAAAACAGTTGATAAAATAATGAAACGAATTAAAGAAGAATTTTATAATGAATTAGAATAAAGTTAACGATTATCTAAACTTATAATCATACTATAATAATAACATGTAAACTATTATATGTTATAATTGTAATATATTTATCGTTTGTAAAGATTGAATTATTATTTGTTTCTTAGTTTTTGAGTATGTCCTAAAACTGTATAAAGACTTAGAACTATACATTAATAAGAATAATGGAAAACCAAAGTGAAAGGCAGTGCTCCAAGTGTTGTAGAATGTTAGGAGTTGAAGAGTTTGAAGGTGAAAACAAAAACTGTAATAGGTGTTTAGAACACAGAAGAACATGTTATGAAAAGCATAAGGAAGAATATAGGGCAGAAGCGAATAGAAGGTGGAAGGAAGATGAAGAGTATAGAGAAAAGAAAATGGAAAGGAATAAACAGTGGAACAATAAGTTGTATTTTTGTAGTGAGTGTGATTTGTCTATGTATTTGAGAAATAAAGCAAGGCATGAGAAAACAAGTAAGCATCAAAGAAATGTAGTTGTAAAGCTGAATAATGAAATGTGAAAGGTGGAACTATTAGGTGAAATGTGTTTTAGTCATATTTTTAAGTCTGAGTGAAAAATTCGTGAACAATGAATAAGGTAAAAAGAAAAAATGAAGAATAACTGGAGTTTCTGAGAATTGGAAAAAGACTTAAAATATAAAATGACTAAGGGTAAACAAATAGTAAAATGAAATAGGTTAAGTAGTGAAAAAATAATGGATAAGGTGTGTATCTTTTCTAGGAATTACTTAGAATGAATAAGGTTGTGATTTATTAACCTTATCTATTAGTTGATACTTGGTTTTTCAATGTGTTTTTCATTGGTTGATAGAAAAAATAGTAAAAGGATTTTCAGTTCCTTCAAATCCCCTTTTACTATTTTTCCCCCCCCAATTCCATTTTGCTAGTCTTCCCCATAAAAGGGACAATGAGCTTACCGTTGACATCTGCAGGGCTCGAAATGGGTCCTCCCAAAACGGCCGAATGTCTGAAACCGTTTCCCACTTGCGCCCTCGCACCTCACATCTACAAAGTAGTGCACAGCCTGGTTGTGAACTGACCTTCAACCCTATGTGTATAACCTTTTTACTCCTTCCTTTCGTTCCTATCAGCATGTTTCGACCAGTTGACAGAGTCGGGTTGCATTTTCAAACATGTTGCGTTCCGCTTTGCGTGAACTCCAAAATCGCCTTCTGCTTACCTGAGCACCAGACCAAGGGAGCAACTGGAACACCCCCTCTTTGGACATCGGTGTGTCCCAGAGAGGAAATCAGAGAGTAAATGGACAAACTCTAGCACCTGGTAGGTGCTACTGTCGTAAACCGTATACCCCAGTATTCATGGAGTTTCATCCATCCCAACTTGTAAGTACGGAAGTAGGGTAAAACTATGGCGTCTCGAGCTGCTAGCCAATCCCTATTGTGCCACTCATAACTTATATGGCTCTGGTTCTCAGAAGTTATCACCATGGTAGGCTACTCAGGTTGAGCATCCAAAATTTGCGATTCCGTCACCCCATTCACTTTCAGGTGCCAGGCCAACAATCGCCAAAATGGCACTTTGCGGTTTTCCGTTGAGTTTCCCTTTGCAACACACCCAAAAAGGGATACCCTCCCACCAACTAACATGGAAGTGTACCAAGGCCCTTTCCGAGAGGAAAGTAGTCTTTCTACAGGGGTCTGTGCGCTTCCATGTTAGCTGGTGGCTACCCCCCACTTGAAGAAGAACCAAGGCATCCTGAAAAAAAAGGACGAGCCACGGATCTCCGGTAAGAAACGCGCAGGAAGCCTTCCTCGGAAAGCTGAAGGGAATCGATGGGATTTCCACCATCGAGACCCAGACCTACACGCTGGAGGAGGCCATGCGGGAAATTGTCGAGTGGATGGCTCGTCTTTTTTTGAGGGGTACCCCCCTGCTGGCTGTGAGTTTTAAAAGGAAAGTAAAAGGAAAACCACAATCTTGCGGGTTCCCTTAACAGACACACCTAAATATTGGTTTTGTTGAATGTTTGAGGGTTTCCTTTTGAGCATGTGATGCGTGATGACCACCTCAAAACGTTTGTGCGTGTTTCACTGTTGGCTATTCTTGACTCGTTCATTCAAGTATCACAACCAGGTAACGACGGCCCTTGTCTCGGCCCATCTTTCTCCACAGAATGGAACAAACTAAACTGTCTGTTCGGCGGGGTTGTAAGTTTTGCTGGGTGTGCCTTTGTTTAGGGAACCCCCCCAAAAAATAAGTGGTGGTTGTCCTGTTGGTTTTCCCTTAAACCAACCCAAGAAGGATGCTCTCAAAACAAGACAGAACCATTTGAGACCCGTCACCCTAGTTTGAGTCACGTGCCAAGATTGCTGGCCACCAAGGTTTGGGTTTGCAAAGAAATGTATCATTTCCGTATCGAAGTTCTGTGATGATAGATGAGTTCTAACAACACCAGGAACGAACCACTTCATTGGAACCCATTTGGGGTGCCCTGTTAAAATTGAAGCCAAAAGGAAGATATACCCATTTGTTGGCCCAAATCTGGGGGACGCCTAAAAATCGGATTTTTAGGTTCTGGTCCCGATTTGGGTTTCTCCTGGGATGTCCCTTTGGAAGGAGGTCTTTTTGGAAGGAGGTCCCTTTGGAAGGAGGTCCCTTTGGAAGGACGTCGCTTTGGAAGCACTAAGGGTGTTACCGACTGTAGCGGAGAGGAATTCTTTGGGTATGCGCGCCTACACACTTAGCTTTTCGCAGTGCGAAGTTGGCAATAACAAAGATGTGTCAACGTAGATGCTATTCTCACTTTCCGAGTTCCTGCACTTTAGTTTTTTGGCAAGACCATTCTATTGGTAAACATATGTTTAGGACTTTTGTGTCCAATCCATTCGGAAAGTCAGTATTGCAGTTTGCATCAGTTTGCCCTCACACCCACTAAATTAGTGCATTCACTGTTCAGCATTGAGTCTCGCGACAGGCGACGGCAACGGAAATTGGATGTTCCACCTACTCAGCCGGGTCATATCAAGGGGGTATGGGTCAACAGGGGTTTGGCTGACTTATATACACCGCCCTAACTGCTGCAAGTCGGAGAACAAGCGAAGGTCCAGGATTTGCTGAATTCACCGTTTTTTTTGGCGGTTGGTTCATTCGGGTGCTGAAAATTGATTGACCCCGAAAATGCAAAAGGTGTCCTGTCGGATCTCTGGAAAACTGGAAAGGGCATTCACGCCACACCCATTGGCAATATTGCAATTTTTTCGCGATTCTTCATTTTGGTAGGTGTTTGAAGGGAAACCACGATGAAACCCGCTTCGTCATTTTTGAGAGTCTCCGTTGACAACGACACGCCCATTGCCCGTTGTCCTGTCCTTTTTTTCTTTCTTTTCGCGAATTGACCATTTGGATGATGTGTGGGGAACCCGACCCCAAAGGGGTCCATGGCAGAAAAGCTGCCACAGCCATTTTTTTAAGGCTCCGATGCCTGAAAAACACGACACGCCCATTTTTCAGGGCCTTGCTCGGGTTTGGTTTAGGTGTGACCGGGGAAGCTCAGCTCTATGGAAGGTGACTTGGCCTATGCGCACTTTGTTGTTGGATCCTGCTAGTAGGCGACCGTTCATATTGTGTTGGTTCTGCAAATTTTGAGTAAGGGCTGCAAGAAGCAACGCCGTGTGCCACCATATCAAGGGTTGGAAACCACTGTCATACTCTCCAGAGTTCGAGATACGTTGGGTGTCCTTTGAGCGCCTTTAAAACAAACCTAAACCTGAATGAGAGACGAGCATGGTTTGGTGCCCATGTTCTTGCAAGAGTTTCAAAGATGAATACTGTTGAGCCCAGGGCTATTTCCTTTTGATTTTGATAAAACGATCCCCTCTTAGAGTGGGTTGCGCGGATATTATGAATGCGTCAGTAGTACCCTCAGGCACACACTCCAGGACAGTCTCCATTGGCGAAATGAGCGGGGAGGTTCCCCTACTACAATAGACAAAACAGAAAAAAGTTGGTGCCAACTTATTCTAACCTCTCTACTGGAGGACCTAGATTAGAGTGGACTAGGGCAAGCAAAAACAACGAGTCAAGTCTTAGAGCAAAGGATCCAACTAAAGCCAACAAAAACAAAGACGGCAAATCAAAGGAAGGATTCAGACGTATTCCAGTTAGGCACATGGTTTTGGCGGCTCAATCCCTTTGTTAATTGGTTGGCTAACTTCCTGGTTTTGGGGTTTGTAGGTGCTTGTAGGCTTCTTTGTAGAACAATCCCAAACCGGTACCTTCAACCGACACATATGATCCTGTTGTTTTCTTGTTCTGCTGCGTGTTCCTTAGATACCATGGAAGGAACCCATTCATAGCTGTTGTCCGCTTTGTTGGGCCATGGGTCTTTCCCAGACATGCGTTGTTTGTCCTGAAGAAAGTCCCACAATTTAGCTACCCTCTATGTGGTTTGGAGTCCCATTGGTGGTTTCCTATTCACCCTCAAGAACCAGGGACCCGTTCAAATCCCAAAGCACCAATCCAAACCACCAACTAAGGGGTTGCCTGAAGAATGTTATCCTTTCCATTTTCTTGTTTCTTTGGACCAGGTTCGCCTAAAGCCTCGAAAATTCGACCAAACCTGAGTCAGGCAGTTGGCGCACGTTTTTTGTTCTTTTGTTTCCTTTTTTTAGGGGCCGATTTTCCAAGCCAACGTCCACTTCCCCAAACCTGGGCTTTAGTCACTTTTGGTTGGACCATTTTAGTGGTAAACAACTCAGGGATATGCCCAACAGCTCGAGAGCCGCCTTCCGGAACCCTTCCGGAACCCTCCCTGAAAGCCGCCCCAAACTACCCCGAACGCGCCGATTTCTGGGCGGAAGTGAGCTTCGATGCTCTTGAACATTCAAGAACCCGTTGAATGTAACTAGGTGAGCTGGTGCAGTCACCTATGATGGCTGATTGACTCTTCGGGCTTGGGGCGCTTG